GTATGGAGAGATCAAGACGACTGCGTGAGCTGATACTAGTGCTTGTTTAGGGGACCTGAAGATTAAGGCCCAGCTTGGATAACACAGGTTGCATGAAAATGTCCATGATGAGCAAGCATGAAGTGACAGTGGAGAGGAAAAACTCCTCTTTGGGAAGAAACCTCTGGCAGAGCCAGGCTAAACATGTTGATCTTCTGCCGGACTGGTTTAGATGGGACAGGCAACAAAGTAAGAGTCCGGGACGAATGACACTGATAAAGCTTTAGTTATGATGGTGGAGAACGGGATTGAGGTGGGTTGAATCAGGGTCGTCTGGATCAAAGTTGGACAGAGCGCAACCACTGCCTGCGCTTGGGTAGCAGACTGAGATGTGGATTTGCAGACCCTTTTAAAATGAACTCTGAATGCTGATTGGCTTTAGCGGGGGTGTGGTTCAAAGCTGATTGGCCTGTGTTGGAGGCGGGTGAGCAATGAGTTTTTTCAATTGAACTTCCATCTAGGCTCCATAAAACATGAGGGTCAGACTTATGTCTGCTACTAGAAAATGCAGAACTCTCAAAGAATCCTTCATGGATTTTACTATTTGCTTAAGAAACAAAATTTGTTAGCTATAGATAACAAATAAAAAATAAAAATACGGCAAAACACAATTTGACCCAAAACATACAGGTTAATCCGCTAAAAGACTGGTTGGGAATTAAGAATTGAAAACTCGTGGGTCTAGTCAATGTAAAATCTTGATTTCACTGACATGTTCAAACTTAAAACTGAAAGATCTTAAACTTAAACACTTAAAGATCTACATCAGTGGAATTTTTTCATGCCGTCTCTCCTACCCTAAAAAGAGAAGCATTATAGAAACCCATTAAAGATGTCTTGTTTCCTATGTAGTGGGATACATACTGAACTAGCAAAAAAACTTGACACAAAAAATTTTGTTTGCTTTTGGGGAGTAATAACACGAAATAAAACAGCAAAAACAAAAAAGATGTTACAGATAATAACAGATAATGCTACCGGTTGTATATTTGATAACCAAATTCTAAATACATTTAGCACCCACAATATTTAGTACAAAAATCTTTAACTGTAACTCACCTAAAATAAGCCCAGGGTTTAGGTAATTACTATTTTAATAATTAAACTACTGTGCTTTGAAAACATTTATGATTTTGCACCAACTGTAGAAGGAATAAGTTTGAAAATATGTAAATTCTTAGTCACACAAGCAGCCTCCCTGGTAAGGACTTCATCTTTATTACAGTAGTATGATCTCAAACTGAACTTAAGTCTAATTTGAGTAAATTTATCCAGTCGGAAGATTGTATCCCCAAATGCGAAAAAAAAAATTTATTATTGTATGACCATAACATTGTTGTCACACATACTGAAAGACCCCTAAGAACGCAATGGGACACATTTATTAAACTTATTTTTTTTAAATCATATATTTCATTCTGGTTCTTTTTTTTAACTTTTTATTCATATTCTTTTAATTCAATTGTCTGACAGCTAAAGATGATAATACCCATAGGGTTATTTCTCTTGGCACCTCCTCAAAACACAGGACCACCAAACATGCTGTTTAACTGAGGCAGGTCAAGTCGTGCCTCTTAATTCGGAAAACGGCAAAAAAAAAAAAAAAAAAAAATTGCATAAAAATAACTCCCCTAATATTTCCTGTATGTTAAATCAGAGTAATAATCCTCATAATAATGATAAACAACAACAGGAATGGTGTCTACCTGTATGTGTTGGGACAGCAGCAGTGTTTAGATTAACACCTCAGACAATGATTGGGAAGGTTAATAGGTAGATTTTTCTAAAAGGTCTCTGTTTATTTTAGAGATAATGATGCCACTCAAGTCTTTTTGTATACTTTTTTTTTTTTTAACAGAGGATGTTAATAAGAATTTACGATTGATATAAGCAAATGCCCTGCATTCTGGTCTATATTTCATTTTATAACTGGTAAACTTATGAGCCCTTATCACACAAGATGCAAATCAACAGGACATGCATTACTGTTCATAGAAATGTAAATAGACTTGGTAAAAGCTACCAAAACCATCAGTAAGAAAAGACTTTCCTTTCCAGAACTATTAAAAGCTAGATTAAAAAAAGTTTATATAAGCAATACTTATAAACTATTCTAAGTGTTATGTTTGATAGTTTCTCTATCATATATCCTCTGCTTGTGAAAAAGATTTTAAAATTTTTAGAAATATTAGAATTGTTTACTTGCATCAAACCCACAAAAGAACTGTAATCAAATATCATTTAAAAACAGTTGAATGAAGCTGAATTGGTTAAAAAAGGAGAAATTGCAGCCGTGTTCGGAAGAAAATGAAAGAGTATTTCCAAACCCACCAAACCTTTGGAAACAGCTGTGCAGGCTTTAGAAACATAGTCAGTACTGAGGTTAAATGAGCTGAGGCGCACAAAGAACCCAAAGAATTGGAAATGTGTGATTTGGAGTGAAAAAAAAAAAATGTGCACTGTCAAATGAGTCATGACTTAAGTTCTTTTAAACTGATTTGATTATAAGGATATGAAAGGTACCAAATGAAGGGTTGTTTTGCATAATCAAACATAAAGGTGGTCCAACAAAATAAAAAAACATTGCCTTGTGCTGTATTTTCATTTAGGATTATCAGGTCACAATGAAAGGATTTCTTGTTCTTTTAGATTCTTAATATAATTCGTTTCTTGATGTTAAGTCTTAATTGACATCAAATGAGTGAATTATTTAAAGCAAACTGTTCCAAAACAGACGAAACATATAAAGGTGGTAGGGTACAAATGATTCATTTAAAAAAAGAAATGTACCTTGGTAAGAAATGATCAAATTCTCTAAATACATTATTTTTAATCCTGAATGAGTTCATATTTGCATACATATAAAAGACGGCAATTTATATTGTCTAGTTTTCAAAGAAAGAACAGAAGAACATGTCCTTAAATTAAGGAAGATTGTTGGTACTCTAAAAACACGAAAAATCTATAGGAACATAGATTCTTGCCCAAGATATCCATATCTATAGCCATGAGGAAAACTTTAAAAGGTTTAAAATAACAGGAAATAACCGATGTATCTTTATACTGTAACAGTAGGGAAGATAAACCAAAAAACAGGGCTGGCTAATTTATTTGGTAACAAAGTTTGCTTATACCTCAAGCTGGATTTTATGTTTTTAACCCATCAGCCAACTAACCAAGTCTGCTGGTGCCAACAATCCCCAGCTGACATTACTGCGGCTTTTTGAGGTTCTCATTCTGGGTATTTAAAAATAATAAATACACTTGGTATTTTTTATAAATACAAACTGTATATGTGTAAAATGTAATTATTTTTAATTAAAAAACAAAGCAAGTATTCATTCTGCTGCTGTTGATATGTGTTGAGATCTTTTTTATTGAAACTTCATCTATAACTTGCAACAATAAACTTTTTGGTTTAGTTCACTTTTTATTGCACATTCTTGTGAATCAGCTACCTGGTTAGAGCCAGCTGTCAACTACTGAACACAAATTCCACCTTAAGTTTACCAGCTTTAGTCATAAAATAATCTTCATGTGATTATTTTTTGTTTGTTTTTGGTAACCAATAATATTACCGGCCAGCCAAATTAATCTATATTGGAAGTGATTAAAAATAAGGGCTTTAGGGATTTTCTTGGATATTTTGGGCCACTGTGAGTTTTAAATATAGATGATCTAGATTTATGTATATTAATGTTAAAAATGGTGTAGCTCTTCAAGGTACATTTTGTGCATGTAAAGTAAGGTGGAGTTCTTCAGATCATCCTGCTACATGTGTAACTACTGGACATGGATCACTGAGAGAAGAATGGTAAAAAGCACCTTCTGCATCATCAGGCCTCTATAGATACATTACAACTGCTTTACATCTTCCAGATTTCTTTATGAAAAACTGGCCTGAAAGTTAATCTCTGCCACTTCACAAAGATTTTTTTTTTTTTGTGTGTGTTTTTGTTTTTTTAAGCCAAACATCAGAAATTCATATCAAAAAGGCAGGGGTAATTTTAGGTATAGCCTCAGACTAAAGATGCTCCAATGCGAAAATAGCAATGAAGGTGCACAACCAGAGTATTTTAAAATGGTAAATATTTTCATGTTTCCAACATCACACTAGTCATGTTTTTCCTGAGGTTATTTTATGCAATACTTACAGTGCAGGGCAGCAAATCATTTTTAATATAAAGATTTTCTAATACTGAATTCAAGTTAGGACTGCACTACATATTGCAAGAATATTATTGCAAAATCAGTGAGTGTAATATTTATATTGCAAAGGACTCTTTAGTAGTGCAATTATTGCTCCTCAATATATTCTGGCATTATAAAGTTCCAACTACATGCTACTTTAATATTGAGCAAGTTGGAAAAACAAATTAAACTGCTCAAAATGGAAAGATTATAGCAAATAGATTTAGAAAGAGTACAGCACAATAACCAGTATTATGGCCTTCCCAAGATTTTTCAAAACCATGCAGAGCCAATTTAAGTTACAAAATTGACTGCTATAAGGAGTGGAACATTTCTAAGAGGATATAAGAATTCCTTGTTTAAATGTTAGAAACAATTACCGGTAGTTCGTTTTAAAATGAAGCATATAATAAAAATTCAAACGAGGCAGATCATTTCATTTAATATTACCATGAAGCTCATCTATTTCAATGTGCTCTAAACTAAAAAAAACACAAAACAAAAAACAAATATTTCTAACAAACAATTCTGATCTATATAGCAAAAATATAAATCACATAACATTTTTTGAAATCCCTCTTTCTTTGTACAGAACATTTTAGTGTTGGACAGACAAAAAAAAAATGGCCATGTTTATAAACCACTCGTCACACAAAAATAGAAAACTGAAAAAAAAAAATAAAATAAAAAAAAGGAAAAAAAAAAAAAACTTGAAATCCTTTTTTCCTAGGACACACATATATATATATATATATATGTATATATATATATTTTTTTGTCAAACTGCATCTGATATGTAGACCAGTTGAAAAACCATTTCAGAGGTTCAAGTCAGAACAGCTGCCACACACATTTTGGTCTGCGTATATAAAACAGTAAAATTTAGGAAAACAATATGATCTGCTATAAATACAAAAAAATGCCAAAAACAATCCTTCAAACAAGAAAGGAATGTAGTGCCTGTTCATAAAAACAGAACAAACATGATCAGATAAAAAAAAATAAAAAATCATCAGGTGATTTAAGACGTAGATTCACAGACCCACTTGGAATAAGCTACACATCCTCTAATAAGCACATCCTTAAATAGTTTTTATATTATATGCAACCTGTGGACTGAGCCATCTCCTTATAGCCTTACAGTCAGTGTTTTGGCACATATGTTTGTGAAGCAATATATGCACAGCTTTAGAGTCGAAGCTGTTTAGGATAACCAAGGTTAGCTTAACCGTCTGGGAATGCATGTTGAATAGCTGCTTCGTATTCAAAATTCTAATACAAAACAGCACAGTCTAGTAGTTTATTCAAGGTTTCATAAAGTATTTTTCCACGGTTAAAAAGACAAGCTGAACCTAAGGTACCGCTGATGACTCAGAATTAATAGACAGAATAAGGTAATCTGAACAACGATTCGTTCTCTTTTCTTCATCACCGTTTCATTCATAACACTCTGCCCTCACATCTCTGCAAACTAATAAGCTTACCTAGTATTTATAGTTTTTAACACCTAATGCACCCAGCTTGTGCAAGCCACATAATACAGATCCGTTTCCCCCACTGTCTTTAACAGGCTCCCTCTGCAGTCTGTCCCTTCAGATTCAGCTTCTTTTAAGGATCGTAAGATTTGATCTGTTTCATTAAATACAAAATCTTCAACTAGATCATATTTCATCTTTATAAATCTGATATGCTTAGTGTTTGTGTAGCTGTAACGACAATAAAGAAAATGGAACAAAAGAGACCATTTAAAAAAAGCTGAGTAATCTTATAGAAGTTCGATTTGTGGTTTAAAGTTTTTCTTTAAAAAATAAATAGTGCTGCTCTGCTTGAAAAAAAGCTGAGATTTAGACAGTTTAATTTGTTTGTGAAGGTGAATAGTGTTTGTGGAAATGTAAAAAGTGGTCGAGTCCTGCTCTGGCTCGGTGAATTTGCTGAGGTTACCCACTGAAAAGCAAGATGGCAGATGTGTTGGGGAGCAGCACGCGGCTCCAGCTGGGTGTCGCGGTTTTCTGTTTGAACACAGAACAATGTTTGCAGCCAGTTTGAAGAACTTTCCACCTACAGCCCATCATTCTTTGCATTGAAGAGAGCTGCAAGGCCCAGTTGTTCAGTCTCCACTATATCCTTGTCAGGCTTCGGCTTTTTAAAGAGGGATGGAAGGTTACGGATGTGAACCTCCTTCCGGAACTGCTGGCAGAGAGCTTTCTGTGAGAGAAAAAGTTTCAAACAAGAAGATTTCCATTAGATTGTTCAGCGTTGGTGAGGCAGTCCAACATTTACAGCCCAGTCAGAATCACATTCATGATTTGCACTACAGGGACACCCTCTGAGAAGGACCTTCACTCAGAATTTTAAAGTGAAACACTGCTCTCTAGTGGTTAGATGTAGCATTACCCCAACAGTTCCTGCAATGAGCTTCTTGAACTGGTCTTTTCTTTTTTTCTCTCCAAATTTCTGGGCATTGGGATCCACAAGCCTCTGATCATAGTGGTCCAGAGCTTCCATGTTGATGTTTGGAATCTGGGTCATCACTGTCCTCAGCTCAATGTAGCGCGGTCGCTAAAGCAAATGGACAGAAAATGGACACGCATGAAAGGGATACACAAAGTATTTACTGTGTCCTAAAACTAGTTTAATGAAAATCGTTTTCATAAAAAACTTTAAAAAAATAAATAAATGAGTGCCACTTGAATTATTTGACATTAAATTGTTTTAGCATTTTGTTTCTTATTCCACCTCAGCAAATTTTACCTGTTGTATGATATATATATATATATATATATATATATATATATATATATATATATATATATATATATATATATATATATATATATATATACACACACACACAGAAAAATAAAAATAGCCAACAGCTTTTGTCATCAGCAATAGCCTCACCAGGTTGTCATAGATGAGCATGGCCAGGTTACAGAGGGTAACGTTGCAGGTGTCATGCTGCCCGTGAACCTGAAGGGCTCTGAGGACGCTGGTATAGAACCACGTCACCGCCTCAGGGAGAAGATTACCCCCTACAACCTGAAAAAAATAAGTTCAACTTTGTTAATTCAAGTTTCAATAGGGTACCATATGCATTTCATGTCACAGATGGTCACTGCCAAAAATGACTACTTTACTATTGGTAATAGGACCTGTGTGTGAAACAGTCTAGTTCAAAATAAGTGTTTTGATACAATCCAATCTAAATAATAATCATCTTCTAACTTTATTTATTACAATAGTTTTAGCTATATTGGGTACAGGTTTAACTGCACACAACTGCTCTGGCTGTATTCAACTATATTTCTTCAGTTACCAAAGAACACCACATGATCTTTCACTCAAATAATTAAAACAAAGTGTCATGGTTAGTCCTTTGAAATTGGCAATCAGTTTATATTAGCTGGGGAGTATGAGGCACAATGTTTAACTAAATGAAGTAATCTGTTATTCAGGCTGCAGTTTGAGTGCAACATATGTCTAGCATGAAGTCAAATTCCACTTAGCACTGAGGGAAGATTCAGAAAGAAGAAAAAAATCAGGTTTAAGATTCTCTTTACAATCAACTCAGCAGGATCAGAAGAAATTCCTTTGGGAGTAAAGAAAACGCTTTTATGTAAAAAGATCGATGCACAGAAAGGCTGCCTCTGGTTTTTTTTTTTATTGGGTGGACACAGTAATGGACAGTATAAAGCAATATAATTTAATTCAGTATTGATATGACTTTTAACACACTTCCAATACTTCTGTATACATGAAGGCAGCATTTGTCCCTGAAGTTTGTGTTTTAGTTTTTTTAAAGTACATATTTTTAAAAATGTTAGGTTGAAGCAGTTTGATAAACATGGAAAAATAACCGTCAGTAAGTCTTTCTGTAAGTGTTTAGAGGCATCTGTTGTGGGCATTATACATTGTCTTTTATAACCTCATGTTGAAATAAACTGATATTTAGGTATAAACCAGTTACCTGCCGCAGGAGGTTCCAGCAGACCATGGACGCGGTGCGGTGGCAGTTTGTGGTGTCCTTCCAGGAGAGTGAGGTGAATGAGAGGGTCAGCAAAGACATATACACATCCTGCAACAGAAAAAAGCAAACCATCCAGTTCAGAAGCATTATTTAAAGTCACAGTGCTTTTTTTCAACCTGAGACTGACCTCATGTTTAAGCAAGCATTTTCCAAGTTCAGTCAGCTCTTCCATGGGCTGTGGAGATGATGCTGCCTGAACCGACTCCATCGCCACATCCTCCTCTGGAATAGTACGTCTTTAGAAAAAAGCATTCACATCTTTCTCACTTGAACGTAGAAATTAACTCTCACCATCATTTTCCTCCTTATTTGCTGCTGCTTCTGGCACCTTTCTGGAAATACAGCTCACATCTAAAAGAGGAAAGAAGATTGTTATTCAGAAGCCATCATAACTCACATCGCTGGGTTAGAGAAAACGCTGATCAAGCAGCTGTGATCTACCATACAGAACTTCTAAAAACTCCTTGTATGCAGTCTTCTCAGCAATCAAAATACTTTGAAAGCACTTTGCTGACAGAATTGCATAAGATTAATAAGACTTCAAGTAACATCTTTAGTGAAAAAAGTGCCACATATCTAAACTAAAGACAGAGCAGCCGTCAGATGAACCCGATACACATTTTTTGATTACAAATAAACAGTAGAAAGAAAACAAGAAAAACTTAATCTACTCTAAACAACGAGCTCTACGTTCCCCACCATGTTTACCATAGATAATACCATCCTCCTTCCCTGTCAATTTTCCTGTTACACTCAACTCTTAATTATTGTAGTGGCAATTGAGGTACAACAAAAAAAATAAGTTATTTTCATTTGATCCTATGTGGGTATGTTTCAACCCTCTCATAACACCAAGTGTTGAATGTAGCTTGGTTTAATAACTGTGCAAGATGTTTTTCTATTTACTTGATATAACAGGCAACTATAAGCATGGCATATAAATTGTACTTGTATTAATTAAATAAATGGTTCACAATAGTGACATGATATTGCTGACAGGTCTTTATGTAAAATACAAGTGAAACCAGTTGCTGTCTGGACTTACTGAGAAGATCCAGAACCTCCCTGGTGAGCAGACGAACAAGCTGCTCTTCCAGCATCTCCTGAGTCACAGCTCTGTCCTCTTGGATCACCTGCTCCTCCTCTTCTTCCCCACTGATGACACAGGCATGTCATTATGAAACCGATTTCGGCATTTAAAAAAATAAATTAGCTGCTATTAACGAAACTGTAAAGCTTAATCATTTCACAACAACTTACTTCACAGAGGACCTCTGGTTGATGACCTGCCACTTTACGTTCAGCCTCTGTCATATAAAGCACAAGTCCATGCACTTAAGAATGGCACAATTTAATGCTTTATGTTGCAGCCCTGCCCCTAAAAATTCTCACTAACAGCATACTGACCTGCAACATGTAGGTGAACAAAGGCCCCAGCAGGGGGCGCAGCAGACTCTCGTGATACTCTGGAGGACAGGAGAGCACCAACTGCTTTAAAAACAGCCGTACACATCTGCTAAGGCAAACAGTTTTCATCTTTATGCTGATATAAGGTTACTAACTCATCTAGCAGACACACAAACTGGCAAATAAAAAAAAAGGATATGAATAACAGAGCGAAGTCTGTGATCAGGCACATGGTCAAGGGAAGCAAAGGCAGAGCCGATGATTCCTTCAGCGAGTCTCTCCACTGTGTAAAACTCCTGCATCAGAGCTGGACCTGCGTTACCCAGGATATGAAAGCTGCAGGGGTGAAGAGCGCACAGGGAGGCAGAGAGGAACTGAGACAGTATCGGGATAAAATACAAACTAACAGTCAAAAAACATCAAATCTAACTACGACAAGGGAACAAAACATACCAGTTTTCAAATAATGAAGTAAAAAACCCCTGCATCCGATCTAGAGGGCTTTTATTCACGGGAGCATCATAATTATCCTGACTAGGCTGGGGGAGACCTAAAGAAAGAAGTTTAAAAGGTTAAATATTTAATGACTCCTCACGTTGATTATGATGATAATCAGGATAGAGAAAGCTTTTCTTACCAAGAATTATGAATTTATCTCCATCTATGACATCGTATGCTCTGGAGAAGGTCTCACTAAGACGAGCAACATTCTCAGGTATAAATAAACTGTTCTGAGTTCTGAAAAAACAAAAAGAAATTAAACCCATTACAATAATATAATCTTATATACATGAACAAATTTAACATCAAGTCTATCAATTCCTGTAAGGAAACTAAAGACTTTAAAAGGTATAGATGGTTTTGTTTCATCTAAATAGGTGGTCTTCCTAATTGTCAATCATTTTGGTGATATGTTTATGTAAGGTCGTCCTAAATGCTCTTCCCGTTAGCTATCTTTTTCTGCGTTTGCACACTTTCAGGCATATATGTGTGGTCAGCTACGGTTTCAGACAGACAGTCATTGAAGCTCACCTTTCTCACCATGGTTCTTTAAAAATGGCCAAGCCTTGTAAGAGGGAAAAATGTCTACCAACTGTATGAGAAGAAAAGAAAGTCCTCAGAAGAGACAAGAATGCTTTGCACGGTGAGGTCTCCCTGCAAAGCACTATGGGATTTGCTGTCACAGCGGCCCACTGTAGCCATAGGCTGCCGCTACCCGACAGCAGCGACTAAAAACTAAGATAGTGCAGGCACCGTGCAGTAGACCAACAGGGAAGTGTTTATCTGTCCTGACAATAGGTTGAATGAGTTCACTTTAAAGTCCTCGCTCTATATAGTGATTGAGGGATTCAGGGTTTAGGGCAGACATTCAGACACTAAGCTTCTATGAACTATGAGAAAAGCAACTTTTAAACAGAGTGTGCACGAGAAGAAATGGGACTTATGCATGCTCTCGCACAAGCATTCTTCTTTAAAGTGGAGAGGGCGGGTCTTTTAAACAAAATGTGAGTAAATTTTCCACAATACCTTTAAAGCTAAGAGGATTGGAAAATGTCATTCTTTGATCAAAAATCTACAATGACACTATGAGGGAAAAGTCCACTTAAAATACACATGCTTACCTTATAAGAGCGAGCAGATTGGGCAGGAAGGCCAGAAACTGAGCTGCACAAGGGTTTCTGTAGATAGGGGCTCCAGCGGGAGTGTAGCCAACCACAAATCCACCGGCTCTTGCTTCTTCTAGGTCTGCAGGCCAGCGTGCACGCTTTACCACCGCGAGCATCGCATTCAAAGAGAAGCTCAACTACCAGGAAACAGAAAAGAGCACTTCAGCTCAGGTGATGAACCAGGATCGAAAACAATACTGAACTTTTATGCCACTGTACATAGTCTTAAAGGGAGGGAGTCACGAGAAGAAGTGGAATAACAATCGATTGCGTGAATTTGTGTAGTTTCTGTGCCACGATTACCGATAGCATCCAGTGGTGTATTTATTCCCCACTTACAAATGTCGACGATACAACACAGCAAGGATAAGATGGATGGGCTATGGATGGATGGATATGGATTTTTACAGCAGGAATTCAACCATAAAAAGCTTTAGAAAAGCTTAAATGTTTGAGGCAGAGTTTCAAATAGAAGCCCAAACCAAAATGGATACTGCAGCTGATTTCAAAGGGGAAACAAATGGCGCAGATGAAACAATGGAAGCCAATTTCTCCATTTGATTGACTGGATGCATGTTTAGCTCTCATAAAATTAGCAAAAATATGGTTTCTGCATGCATCACCTTCAATAGTGCATTATATCATATTATAGAGGCACTGCATGAGCCCTGATCTAATGATTCATTGTAAAAAATAAATAAAAGTAAAATAAGAACTCTGACTGCCTAGCGGTGGATTCATTTTCTAATTTCTTCCCCCTCATGTTGACATTAAGGAACAGATTTAATGGGCTGTACTGCAGGTGAATGCATATTGGGAATTGGACTAAGATTAGTCAAGTTCTTCCTGCTTGGGCAATATTACGTGCAGAAATTTCAGATGATGACGAAGTTTATTGGGAAAGGTTTTTAGGATAAAAAAAAAGCATCAAACAGTCTATAGGTTGGTACTAAAAATTGTCTTGGAATTAAGATCTTTCATAATAAAGAATAAACAATATTTTTTGCTGAAAATTAACACTGTATTATAACTCTACTGTGCAGAATTAAACTTTGAACAGTGGAATTTAATATAAAGATGAAAATGCTAAATGATCAAAAGAGCAAACAAAATGCCAATAGTTTCCTCATGCATTCTGTGATGTAATAAGATGAACTTTTAGCCAAAACTTGCTTTTAATTACAGAAATTGTCGATTAATTTTTCATTTAATACAAAACACCAAACAAAGATCTAATCATAAGATGTTCTACAAGCCATATCTAATGGAGTTTGATTGTTTTTAATAAATGTAAAGAGCGTTTTTAGCAGCTTTAAAAACAACTGGCAGAGATGAGGTTGAACCTGAATAAGAGTCATGCAAGGAGATCTAAATATACTCAGGTTACTCATTTTTTATTTAAAACACGTTTTAGATGATTCTTGAAGGGGAAGTTTATAATTTGACTTTAAATATAAAGCATTAGTTTTACTACCCCACTTACTTCACCCCTGTTATGTCCTGCTGCATCTCCCTCATCCTTCGCCTCTGTGACAACTGTATCTGCTCCAACAAATAACAGGAACTTGACAGGATCCCAAAGCACACTGAAACAGACACAGGATAAATGTTGCTATAAATTTGAAATCATCATCGACATATTCCCAGAATCAAAAATAAAAGAAAAATCTACCTTGTCATCTCCTCCGAGGTCCACTGGGTGATTGTTGAGGTCATTAGTTCATCTAAAAAAGCCTTCTGCTTTTCAAAGTCCTTAAACTGGTTACTGATGAGAACCAGAGCTTCTATCTGGGAGCATTTCTCCAAGAAAGTCAACGTGGCATCGCTAGAAAACAACTCTTTGACATGGTTGTAAAACATATCGAAGCAAGGCTGTGGAAGAAAAACTGTAATAGCACCTGAAAAATCATTGGAATCCAGTTTTGACTCATTTTAACTGGGATAAAAACATGTTTTACCAAGATAAACTGGGGGTAATCCCGGCAAATTTTAATGATAGCCGAGCAGGCGTGCCTCCGAACATTCTTCACAGCTCGACTGCGAGGTAACTGAAACATGGTGGCATAGTCTTATATTTCAACTTTAGATGATGAAAAAAGTTTTAGCTGTTAAAGAGAAGCTTACCTTGTTTTCTGAATCTATGTGAAAAGTGACTGCTTTAAATAGCTGTAAAGACAAAAAAGAACAGAAATAAGCAACCAAATCGGTTCTAAATCATTCAAGACACAAGATGCCCTTTTTCCATAACTTTTAGCCTCAGAGTCAAATAGATCGACTTGTATCCAACCTTGTAGAGAACCTGTGGCACGAACTCTGGCCTGTGAGTGACGAATGGAAAGAGGGCCGAGATGTTGCTCAGCACACAGGACAGGATGAGTGGGTCTCTGGTTTCGTAGTTCAGCACGGCTTGCAGGAGCTCCATGCTCTGATCTCTTGGCAACTTCTGAAAAGTTTGCAGGCAGCAAAATTAGAACTCATTACATTTCCTTCCTAAACCTGTCTCCTTTTTCTGTACATTGGTAATTTTTGTCACCTCATCATCCAAACTTTTGAAGATCTGATGCATCACACACTCCATAAAGACTGTGACTGCATCCCACTGAAGGACACATGGCGACGTCAAGGAACACAGACCCTCGGCCGTCTTAGCTGAAGAGAGACAGTACAACACTTTACTATTATTGGAAAAACAATAAGGAAGCAGATTTTTATTCCAACTTACATCAAACTGTATAATGTGAGAAACATCTAAAAATGTATAGATACTTTAACATTCTATAAAATATTGCATTGAGTCAAAGCTGTCAAATATTACCCCAAACGGAATCAAGACTAAAAGTTAAACTCTTACAGGATGCGTCTCCAGGATCAACTGGAGCGGCGATCTGAAACTGTAGCCACTCTGCAGCGGTCTGGAAAGCCTCCACTGGAACAATACGACTTATAGTCCTCAGAACTTCCCCTTGCTGTGCTCGATATACTTTTAAAACACAAAGAAACAAAAAATACCACTAGTTGAATAAAACAAAGCATTATCTCCTGTAACCTAATAAAAGAAATAAAACCAACCGGAGAAGGAAGAGCTGAAGTCTTCGTCACCGTCAAAGTCCATACGAGAGTACACACAACTTGGGCTGTCCTGCCTAGAAGGGAAACCAGTCTGAAAACAAAACAAAAACAACCTTTTAAACCATGCAGTTAAACATATTTCTCTTAGCATAACCTCATTGCTTTTCTTCTCCTCCACCCTGTGATTAATGTACAAAAGCAGCATCCCACCTTAACAAGATTGGTTGTTGATACTTTGAGGAGTTTGACGGCCATCTCCAAGACAACAGGGACTTTTGACAGAATCTCATGTCTGAACAAACTGCCCCATGTCATCATAGTACAAGATTTTAAAAACTAGAGAATAGAAAAAAAAATAAAAATAAAAGAAAAAAACACAGAAATATCAGCTTTTAGTTACAAGCCAAGTAGAACTTAAAAGAAAATGGTTAATTTAAGTAAAATGCAAGCCAATTCCTCCAATAATTAGCAGGAACTCACCTGACTGGAATGTGTAGTGAAGGCTAATAAGGCTTCTGTGTACTTGCTGAGATTTGCAGGAACTTCAACCTCTGGACATGAACCCTGTTGGGACACAATTCTAGATGTTGACATGCATTAAACACACTGTAAACATAGTGATCTATGTGCTGCCACACAAGGGAAAACTCACCACTAATGAGCAGAGCTGGAATCCTAGAGCGCACAGGACCTGACAGAGTCTCTTCAGGAAAATGTAGCGGCGCTCCACCACCTCCACTGTTCTAAATACAAAACAGAAATTATAAAAACACCAAGACAAATCACACACAGTCGTTGATAGTGTGCAGCCTTGTGACAGAACTTACTGTGAACTTGATGAATTCGGACATATTGCTAAATTATCTGCCGATCTGGACACAGAGAAATAAGTCTCATTATAACAAAGCCTCAAGTATAATCAGAGCCAGAATAAAGAAGCAGGGGAACTCACTGGGCTGCAGAGAGGATGTACTGGATGGCCACATCATTAAATAGCAGCATGAAGGGCCTCCTCTCCTCCAGCTTGCCCTGTGGTAGAACACCATAAAGACTACAACATAAAACTCTTCCTATTGCAAACACTGTCATAGCTAAGATTAGCTAGATTAAATACATTACAGTAAGACAGTTTGGTAACACAGAACAAAAAAATCTGGTTATTTAAACCGTTTTATATGAGAAACCCTTAAACCCAATTAAAAGACCTGTTTCAGATGTGCAGTGTATTCTAATAGGTGATAATATAACCAATCAAAGGTGAACTAACACTAGTGCTTTAAAACAGCTACGACCTGAAAGGATAGAACCAGCTTCTCAGGCTGCAAGAACACATCATAGGTCTGACTTGCAGCACTCCCTTTAATAGGCAAACTCACATAAAGGGGCATCGTAATTGGGCTTTTACTGAACAAATAAATTTAACATGTTTTAAATCCATTTATGGTCTCTGAAGTGTTCTCCTATAAGGTTTTATTTCAGATAATTTGCTAGAGAGAAAAATTACAAAATAGAAATGAGGATTATTTTAGCTTCTTCCTTGAACGGTAGTTAAAGCCGTTTCTTTCCAGCTAAGCTGAGACTCCGGGTGAAACACAGAAAAGAACTGGAGTGTCCTGAAAACTGATCAGCTTTAATTTTCTAAACAAGGATATAACAATATTGTCAAACATGCATTATTCATCTTTCGCTAGTACAATAAAGACTTTTTAAACCTAAGCAACCTAAGCACAATGTTTGCATTATACCAAAATGAAGCAGTATGGACAAGTAATTTAAAATAAAATCCTAATTGCTGAATATCTTTCCCAAAACAGAGTGGAGAGCTTTTTGTTAATCTCTGATCAAAAAGTCAGAAGCATGTCATTATGTCTTTAATAGTCAAGGGAAGGGGTAAATTTCTCACAATTTTTAACTTAGACTTTTTTTTCCCAAAATATATTTATTCAAATTTTAGCAATTTAAACAAACATCTTGAACAATATAAAGAATATAATCACAGCAATATTTACGTTACTGTTCAAGTCAAAATAAAATACAGACAACAAATTGCCTCACACAACATTTATTCCAATGCGACTGATCACATTTCATGCTTAGCCTCTTATCATGAGAATTAAATTTGACAGTATTTGTCCTCCAATAAATTGTCTTTGGGAACTGCGGTTCGCTTGTTCTTCAATCACTTGCACTTTTTTTTTTTTTTAGATATTCAGAGTCTAAAGATAATCAATGAAGGAGTTCCAAATGGATTCAAACTGTTCCTGTTTGTCCTTTAATACATACATGATTTTTTCCAGAGGGAGGACAGATAACTTATAGACTTTTTAAAACACGAAAGACATGACTGTAGTTAGTGTGTTACCAAAGCCCTAAGGATCTTTCAGGGCAGATGTTAATCACTCAAAGCTTTTAATATTAATAGTTAATTGTTTAATGGATGTTAGTTTTTTTGTTGTTTTTTTTTTTTCTATACCTAAAATGTGATATTTAGAACAGGCAGGTTTTGGACAAAAATTCGGGGAAAATGTGTGGTGAGACTCGATTAAAATTTATTTTGTGGAGTTATGGTGACAGCAGACACACTTCTGCCATAGCTTAGATGTCCCTACTGATCTGAGGTATTTGGTAGGCACACTTCACTGCACAACTCATATTCACATTTCTAATTGATTCTTGTAAAAGAAACCGCAAGGACAAAGGTTTCGGCTTGGGACTTTAGTATGTATATAAGAAAATGCAATTAATCGTGCGTGTGTTTTTCTTTTTTTTTTCTTTTTTTAAACACGTTACAATTTTTCAAATTGAACGCATTAAAGTCCCAGTTCTAGGGAAAACTAACCATCTCTCAGAAGAACAATGACCTTACAATGGGTTTTCAAACACTTTCTGAAGAAGCATTCATTCATGGTCGAACATGCAGACAAACAGTAAAGATTGCAGTTATATAATAAACAAAAAAGACAAATCCCAGTGCATATTTCCTGCAACTCACCTTCCGGCTCAAAGCAATAAGTAGGCACTCCGAAGCCTCCAGCTGCAGCTCAGGTTCACTCAGCAACAGGCACAGCATCTCCAGCAGTTGACAGTTTCTAGAAGTGATGTGCACCAGGCTCACCCAATCTATGTAGCCTGCAAGCGTATTCAGCGTGGCCACGGCAACTCGACAGTGAGCTTTGGCCTGTGAGTGGATTAGAATGTTAAAAATTTAACTAATAGGACATAAAACAGGTCGAAGGTGAAAATAGCCTTAATTGTATAAAAAAAGATGAAGATTTTTGTGAATACCTTCACTTCGTGAACCGGTTCTTCTTTCTGGAAAACAAAACACGATTAACCCCCAATGTCAAATCATATTTGGAGTGCTACTATCGGAGCCCAAACTAATCCAGTGAAGACATAACTTACCAATCTGCGATAGTCCTCTACATTAATGTGCAAAATGGCCAAAATGAAGCTGAAGATGCTATCCATGTTCTGGGTGAGTGTCTGTTGGATGTCTCTGCGTCTCTGTGTGGGTAACGTCTGGAAGGTGATAACGTCCTCTGCCAGCCTCAAAAGGATCAGCATGACCAGTTCTGTCTGTGCCTCCTGCAAAAAACAAAAACAAACAAAACATTTCATAAACATCTAAAATTCTGCTTCTGAAATTCTATAAACTTGATGCAGAGAAATTAAAAAGATTCAGTTTTAGAAGGTGATGTTTGAGCTTCTTTATGCATGCAACTTTTATCTTACCATTTGCTCACTAGTCTAATCGATTGGTGAATTTCATATTTCTATTAAAACACCAGCAAAACATTGATATTTGAGGTGGCACTGGCAACACTACAATACATCACAATAACTTAAACAATTTTAAACTAATTTCATTTTTTATAATAGTAGGCGTAATTTTGTAAGAAAGTAGCATGGGTATGACTCATCCTCCAGTGGAACATATTTGCTTGCAAACCATTAGGTCATCCTATTCAAACTAAACTATGCTGGTTAAGGAAGCATGCTGCTCTTCTGTACTGCATGGGTAACTCACCCCTTGGCTACAGAGGGTTTCCATCTCCTTCAGCATATCTGGCCAATGCTGAGGCCATTCTCTTTTAATCATTTCTACCACGATTCGAGATAGGGCATCTTTGACGTGGCTCTCTTCCTCCAGGATAGAATGAGTACCCTGATGAAATCCAGTAACATCAGCAAATGTCAAACACAAGCTAGAAAGTGTAAGTTTTATCCGATTTGAAAAGCAGGATCTTGTTTTCGTTTATTTTTTTTTACTTTTACTGTCACACCTACAGTTGTTAGCAGCTGCATGGCACACTCTTTTAACTGGACTTTCTCTTGTTGCTGCATATTGTTCCATCTGAACCTGAAGGAGGAAAAAAATACAACCATCAAACAGTACAATTCTGATCATGGTAGGTTTTCAAGTATCACGTGTTATAGACTTACTTGATGACGTGCTCCAGTATTTGCAAACCAAAGTGTCTCACCACAGCAGGCTGACTTTTGTCCGCTAAATGCAGGCCACATGGGACACAAAGGGTGCTTGTCTCTTTAAATCTTTCACAGAACTGTTTAGAGAGAAAAGTTGGCCTTATTAAAAGCAAATGTCTTGATTAACTATATATTAAAGCGCATGAGTTACACGTGCATTAACTTATTGCTAGGAACACGTGTTGGGTATAAAACCAATATTCGCAAACATAAAAAAACAACAATAACGAATAAATAAATTTGGACCCATTTGTTACGTAGATTGCCTACCGAAAACATACCGGTTACTGATTTGACTAAATGAAAATGCATTTCTTAATTTCAATCTCATGTATTATTTGTGTGAATGTGAGAACATGGTTCAATACCGGTTACACTAGGCTAGCTCTCAAATGTTTTAGAATTACACATGAAATTAAGGATAACTCTTTCAAGCAAATGCTATAGAGACTTAAAGTATTGAAAGCGTCAGTTTATTCCCATTCATAGTCACATCATGGAGAGCGTCCTACGGTCAAAATGACAACGTAAGCTAGCTAAAAGCTAACTAGCTAACGTTAACAGTGCTACCTTTAGGGCCTCCAGTCGGTAAATCTGGCTCGTTTCTGCGTCCATTATCACCATCACGGCTTTTATAAGCTGATCACACATGGCAGCCAACTGCTCAGCCATGACTTCAGGTAGCGTCTGTCACACCGTTAAGACGAAAGCAAGCAACTCCCTTATGCAAAGCGCCTACACTACAGTGGATAACGTGCAAACAGGGAGAGACCGACGTCGGCCAACGTGTGCGAAGCGTCTATGTTTGAGCCCTTTGGCTTGCCGTCGTTAAAATTTAAAGCTTTGTAGTTTTTCTTTCTTTCTTTCTTTGCTTCAAATGCATTTAGAATTTACAGAAGGGGATTAGGGCCACTAAAAAAAAAAAAAAGTTAACTGATTTTAACATTTCAGTTTAATATGGAGGGGGGGGTTCTTTAATCTCAGAATACTTTAATCTCAGTATTCTGACCCTAATCTCAGAGTTCTGACTTTTTCCCATATTAAACTGATTTTAAAATTTTATTTTAGTTTATTATAGGAAAAAAGTCAGAATTCTGAGATTAAAGTCAGAATTAATCTCAGAATTCTGACTTTAATCTCAGAATACTTTAATCTCAGTATTCTGACCCTAATCTCAGAGTTCTGACTTTTTCCCATATTAAACTGATTTTAAAATTTTATTTTAGTTTATTATAGGAAAAAAGTCAGAATTCTGAGATTAAAGTCAGAATTAATCTCAGAATTCTGACTTTAATCTCAGAATTCTGAAATTTTACGATATTAAACTTAAATAAAATTAAAAAATTAAAAAATCAGAACCTTAAAATGCATACACTGTATTTATTTTATGGCATATTGCGGTAATCACTTATGCCGTTCAATAAAGTATGTTGTAGACTAACCAGTCAAATGCTAGCTGATGACAAGAGACAGTTTACAATTCTAGATTCACTATTACAGTAAACATCTTAACATATTTTGATTCTTTTTTTTATTATTAATGTGTACTATACAGTATAATGTATAGTTTTCAGCATTTAAATTCACGTTAAAATATTAATATGTATTTTATATATTTTTTTTCAAATTTAATTTAGTACCTATTTATTATTTATTTATGGGTTTGTCTCCTTTTGGTCATTAATATAGTTTAACATTATGCAGCGTTTTCTCTCATTTTTATACATATGATTCAATTCCTCTTAATTTTCTTATTTAAAAAAACTGTCTATTTCAATATTTTATCAGTATTTATGCTATTATTAGTATCAGTAGTTTAATAACAGGAGTAGTAGTTGCTGCTGTTGCAGTAGGAGGCTAAATATATGACCTTTGATTGAAAAGTTTTTTCATTTTAATTATTGTAATAGGCAATTTTATAGGTTCTATTCCCTTGAGACAGATAATTTTGTATAGTGGAATGGATCCAATTTAAAAGAAAAAAAAATATCTTGCCATTTTCTGTTTAAGTCTTCCCACCCTGTAGTAAAAGATGAATGAGCTTCTTTGACAGTTGTGAAAAGACATACATCTCTGAAAACACAAGCTGACACAAGTAAAATGTCCATGGTGTGTAAGAATTAATATTCTAAAAATAGAAAATGACAGTATATTTTTTGCCAAAAAATTTTTTGCAGCTAATACTTTGTTAATATGATGATTACATTAACTTTATAGTTTTCATTCGCTGTTACATTCAGCTTAATAACGATAACATTTCCAAGTTGTACAGAAAGATATCTTTGTTTATCTTTTGAAGAAAATATCTTTTGAAGGTTAATAATAATGTACAATTTTGAGCTTTGCCTTTGTGTGAAATTATACATTGATCAGGGTCCATCGATGCTTATAAGTAGATGTATGAGCTCCTCTGTCCCACATAAACAGTGGGTGGTGTCTGCTTATCCAGACCACACAGGGGGCGGGGCCTAAATTCCAAAGAGGAACGAAGTTCCGGTGTTTACGTCACTTTGGGATCGGCTGCAAGCAGTTGAGCAAGAAAGCAAGCAGCGGGATTTCGGGATTCTTACATTCGCATCTTTCCAGTAAGTAAAACATCCAATATTAGTTAACTCTGATATTTTATTACGTTTCCAGTCGTGCTATGTTCGATATATTTGATAGCTTTTTGTTTTTTTTTCCTGTTTTATGACCATTATACATTGTTTCAAAGTTGTGAAGCGATGCTCGCTCAGCAACGGAAACTTTAGTCCTGAAGGCCGCCGTGTTATCTGTAGCAACAGGTCCACGACGAACATTTCTCTGCTTCGTTTTTTAATTTGTTGCACGAATACATAAATACAGAAAATAACAAGCTCCCTTTTTTTTTTCTCCAGCGGAGGACAGGAGCTTGGAGCTAGAGAAAGTAGCCGTGCCTGTTGTCAGGTTCAGGCTTCGGGATTACACAGATCTCCAGTCTGAACGCTTTCGTCGAAACTGCCTGTGGGGATTCATGTTGGACTGGTTAGCTAAATGCGGTACGAAGCTAAAATGATGCCGGTAAGATTGATTTACACAAGTTTTAACGCTGTTCTTTACCTTATTGTGTTTATTTTCCTGCAACATGATCGACATTTGATCTATTTTGCGTCAGGATATTTAAATTCACGTGGTAACCTGATCCCCTAACCCCTCTGTAAGCTTTTAGTGTACTTACGCTTTGTGAGTGTGCTGAAGGACAAATCTGCTTTCTTGGATGCATAATGCCCAAACCTTTATTTATTTTCTGATGGCGCATACTTGGAAACTGAACAACTAACCAGCCTAACCACAGAAGCTTTTCTGAATTTACATAGTCAGTATTTGGATACCAATTATTCTGAGAGCATGCACCGCCCAGGGGGCACCTGCCAAGTGTTGTTGGCAAAGGCTAAGCTTAGCTTTGGACTCCTGCGGTATCATCATCTTCATCATCAGTGTTCCAGGGCTTTTGCTGCAGTCTGGGGTATAACCAGAGGCGTAGCCAGAAAACGTACACTGAGGGGTGGCCAAAAGTTGATAGGCACCAGAACCTCAGGGTCAATCTACACTGTTCCAAGAGGAAAATTAATGAGCTAAACATTCATATTTTCTAAATATAGACAAACTCTAATTTTCCACAGCCGTTGCTAACAAATAGAGGAATATAGTCAAATATGTCTTTACTTACCTACTCGTATCAATAAACATTCTGCATAAAATTTATATTTACAAATACTAATGTCTACATAAATTGATCATTTAATATTTTTTTAATTAAAATGGTTATCTATCTATGATTTCACCGAAGACTCCTACATGACTTGCAGAGACGCATCATTTACCCCATAAGACACAAAATCTATTTCTGAAACGACCATTAATTATCTACTTATCGTATTTAATGTTAGTATATTGATGTGCATAATTACTCAGTGTTTTTGTTGTCAAGTGATTGTTTATATATGAAAAATTAAAATGATTTGTCACCATCTGAATTAGATGGAAATAAATGGTAGGGGTGGCCAATGATTGGCTAGGGGTTATGCCCATCGAGCTCCGCTTCTGGGTATAACCTATCATGCGCTGGGAAATGGTACAATTGTAATTTAAACTGTAGGACTTCAACAGGGGGTCCGCAACCCCCAGGGGGTCCATGGAGGTACTGCATGGGGGTCACGAAAGTTTCGGTTAATTTGACTTTTTTTTTTTTTTTTTTTTCTTGCAATTTTTTTCCATTAATTGAAATGTCTTTAAATACACATTAACACAATTTAATACACTGTAGTAAACAGATAAATGGACGCAGAAGATGTCTTTCGGTCATTAATGCACACATTCAGCGACACACATGAGCTCTTTCAAGCTGGGCACCGTTTCATTCACAACACCTGTCCCATCATATCGATGAACCAGAATCAGAGAAGTACTTTAATAATCCCAGGGCGAAATTACTTTTGTTACATTACTCTATATGTAATAGAGTGACTATTGGACTAGTTTGAAATAACACAATTTCGCTAGGGGGTCCCCGGTCTATCTCGCCATCAGTTTGGGGGTCCTTGTCCTGGAAAACATTGAAGACCCCAGATTTAAACAAGCCAAAGTAATAACATAATTGATATTGTGTGCTAATAAATAGCAAAATAAACTCTGTGTCAACATTATACTTAAGCTTTAAATTAAGAATTTCCATTTCCAGAGTTTTGATGGTAACTTGCGTGTCAAATCAGTATATCTTTTGTGCAAAAATAGTTTTAACTATTATATAATTGATTTATCAAATACAGCAGCTGCAGTTTTACCGGTAGATACTTTGTTTTCCTTTACTTACCTGTGGTTATAAATAGCAAAAAACATGCTTAGTGTAAGGGATTGCCTTCGAGTCAATGAGTCGATGAAAGTGGTTTTCTTTAGGGCGACAGTGGCGTTGGATGGAGGAGTTTGCCCTGTAATCGAAGGGTTGACGGTTCAAGCCCCGACTCCGGCTTTCATTGTCGTTGTGTCCTTGGGCAAGACACTTCACCTGCATTGTCTACTGATGGTGGTCAGAGGGCCCGGTGGCGCCAGTGTACGGCAGCCTCGCTTCTGTCAGTGAGCCCCAGGGCAGCTGCGGCTACAATGTAGCTTGCCACCATCAGTGTGTGAGTGTGTGTGTGAATGGGTGAATGAATGTAGTGTAAAGCGCCTTGGTCAAGTCTCCTAACTTGAATAAAGGCGCTATATAAGTACATGCCATTTTACCATTTTTTTTTTTTTAGATAGAAAACTTTGAATCAGTTTAACTGTATGATCTGGTTTAATTGTAATGTTCCTTGAGATGACATATGTTGTGAATTGGCGCTATATAAATAAACTGAATTGAATTGAAAAAACAAAGCTTACATTTTGTTAGTTATATAGAAACTCTATATTTGTAACTTTAGGGCACTCTTAAAGCTAATGGAGTCCAATCATGTCGAAGAATATACAATGACTTGCACTACCATGTACATTTTACTTTTTATTTTTTATTTATCCATATTTTTATCCTAAGTGTATATATTAGTATATTTTTTGCATGCCTTATACCCCAGTGTTTTTAGAGATTTTTATAATTTTATTTACCTATTTCATATATGTTTCATGTTGCACGATTGTACCATAAAAAATTCCTAGTTGTGAACCCCTTCACTAACAATGGCAATAAACCCGATTCTGATGACGGACTTGCATGCGATCCCACCATCAGATTGAAATAAATGAAAAAGCTTCTAATTCCAGGATCAGCTGAATATATCGAATTATAAACTGAACAGCAGTCACTGATCACAATGCAGCATCCAAAGGTTTGGTCAGTTAATGTTGTTAAGATTTTATTTATCAAAACACAGACTTTCATTGCCTGCCTGCTTGTTTAATAGGTCACCACAGAGTAAATACCTTTTGCTTTTTCATGTTAAAAAGTATATTGGAAAATTGCAGTTTACAGTAAGCTTTATTTAATTTTAGTTTCTTTATCATCTTCTGCCCATTTTTTTCAGTTAAAGCTTTCTGTGCATGAAATGAGCATTTGGGTTCAGTAACAGGGCATACAGTACAGAGGGACCTTTAAAAAATGTTGATGGTATAAACTAATGATGCATCTTACGTAAGTCCTTATCTCGATGAAAGTGTTGTTCTTCTTGGCAACCGAGTTGAACTGGATAACACCTGTCTGGTTTATGACCTCCGCTTGTTATTGGCAGGCGCTCAACATTTTAATAAAATACTTAAGGCTAATAACCCACCCGCTGTTTTTGTGGTGATGGATGTACATACGTTTTGATGAGATAAGACTTCCCATTTGTAAACAAAAAGAAAGAAAACTGGCATGTATTCAGTCTTTCTGGAGTAAGGTATTGTCTTTTGAATTGTAGCACCAAGCAGTGACCCAGGCTGGACTTTGGGCTCAGGGGAATAATTGGTGTCATAGTTGTAAATAAGGGGTCACTGTCTTCTGGAGCACAATGAATCGGGGGCTCTTTAACACCATGTTGTGGAGACCCCATTGTAATCCTGTGCTGTGGCGCCTCTCTGATAAGGGACACTCAACCTTTATTGACCATTATATTGTATAACTCATTTACACCTGAGTTACGGTTATCGCTGCTTAAACGGCTTTGTCCAGCTGTCCCTGATTCAGGGCTGTTGTTTCTATGGGAAACATTTAGTTTGCGTTTCTAACGTTACAACAAAATATCCTGTTGGTTTCTTATTTCTCTCCCATGACAAAGGCTGCTATGTGAAAAGATTTTCAAGGTTGATAGTTGATATGTTTGTGTACATATTTTGGTTATCTTTATTCCATCACACATTTTTTTTGCACGTCTCAGTAACATGGTGCAAAATCTATATGCTGTGGTAGATGGTGGGGAAGGACGGTCATAATTCAATAAAAAACTGAGGAGGGCTGCTGTTGCATTCCTGGGTTAACTCAGTGAGATATGACAGAGGTGTATGGTGCCTGAATGCAAACCCACATGCTGATTTAACATTAGGTAATACAGTATCATGGAGTTCAAGGGAAACAATTTGTTTATGAAGCTAGAGCATGACTCCCTTGTAAGCCTTGTCTGCAAACTATTAACTGGAGGTATTGGGGAAAACAATTCACAAGCTGAATTCTCAACGTATTGGATCACTGCCTCACTGATGAGAAATGTGTTTACTGAACACTTTTTGGAGAGCAAAGTCGGACGGTTGTTTAGAACTAAATAATGGAATGTATTTATTTTAGTAAGAAGCCGACAGCCATGTGGAAATATCTGCTTATGGCTATGAAATGTGATGCAACTTCAGTTAAAGAGGCTATAAAAAGAACAAGTTTTAAAACGGATTCTAGAAAATGTTGCCACGGTATTTCCTTAAAATAATTTTTAAATCATCCAGAGCATGAATCAGAAGGAGAGCTCTTAAAAGCTTATGAATTTAACCAAGATGTAAAATATTTTTAAGGCTTATGTAGAATATCTTAGTTTTAGTTGTAAAAATATCATGTTAACTGATATTCAAGATTTTAATTTCCTGTTAGAAAAACGGCCGCTAATTCCATCAGCTCGCCCACCTATACTGGTCAGTAGTCTTAAAATTGGGTATAAATGTGTTCTTTGTAAGTTTACTACTTGTAAGGTTTGTCATATTGCAGATTTTGTTAGTTTCATTCTTTAAAATCCTAAGAAAAGAAAAATACATCTGAGTTCCTGAGCTGGGAAAGGCCATTGCATACTTTATTCAGCAGTTTGTGGGCTTTACTTAGCTTGGATTTGCATGTTAAAGATTACACACTACAATGACACGATTCAGTAAGTTTTCACTGAATAGCTAAGTCCGTCACCCACATTTTCCCCAGCTCGTCCTTTTTTCATTGTATTACACAGAGTGCAGTAATTTACCATTTGTCTGTTTTTATTTCTACTTGCTGAAGGTTTTGTTGTATACATTTATATTTGTATTAAAGAATGTTTGTGTATTCTTTTTTAGTTTTTCTTTAATACCTTCTCTGTCCTTGGTGGGTTTTTTTT